CGCCCCTCACTTCCCACTTCATTCTGCTCTTAGTACCTGTTACCAGCCAACTATGACCAAGCAGGTGAGGATCACAGAGACAATCAAGGTGATGTGAGTGTTGGTTGTGGCTTTGGACGGGACTGTGGCTGTGGCATTGGCTGTAGTTGGTGCAGCTGAAATGGAAACAAAAGAATGACACTCTGTGCAGAACCCAAATCTCAGGAGATGCCTCCTCTCGCCTGCTGCCCCCGGTAATCCCACAATGCACACAGTTCCTACCCCTCTAAGTGTGGCAGGCACTGTGACAGACCCTGGGGCGGAACAAAGAGAGGAGATGGGCCCTGTCCCCTTGGGGTTCGCACATTAATGGGGGAAGCCAGGGCTACAATATACCCAGTCACTCCTGCTGCGACAGAAGAGGAGACATGAGTAAGGAGGCTGCGCAGTCCTCTCAGGAGCTGGCTTGAGGTGGACTTGAAGCATTTCCAGAAAAAGACCAGGTGAGACGCAAAGGAAAGTGATGCTGAGAAGACAGAACAGCACAAGGAACAGGTCTGAAAACAGAGAGATGCCCTCATGTTTGGGCAGGAGGAAATCCACAGAGCGTGGCCCAAGTTATTTGCAGTGGGACCTGAGGAAGTGAGAAGCAATAGGAGGGATTTCAGAACATACCCATAGCTGTTGTTCTCAAACAACAAAAAACCAACAAAACCCACCCCACCGTGGATGGATCACTTTCCCAAACCACCCACAACACACTCTCACACTCAGTGTCAATGTTATTTTCTAGGGCCCTATGACTTCATTACCCCTGCAGAGTTACCTTTTGTGCTCAGAAGTTCATCCTGGGGACACAAAACTTGTTGAAGCCACTTCCCACAGTCTCCAACTGAGATCCGATTAAGGAGATCGGTTATGGGTCCGACAATCTTGTTTAAGAGTCTGTCTTCACCATGCAATGCTGTCCGGCTTTTCTTGGAGTCCAAGTGGAGAAATATCCGAGGAGACACCTCACCACCTGCTGCCCCAAGTAATTCTATGAAGTCAAGCTTCCAGAAAGGGCTGGTGCCTCCACTGGATTCCTGCTTACACATCATGCTGCCCTGTAGGGAGAGAGGGCCTGTCCCCACCCACCACAGGAATAAGTTTAGCCTTGGGTCTTGACAGCTCCTTTGTCCCCACCTGGTATCCAGGCCTCTGCTCCCTCCTATCTCCTGGTCCTGCTCTGTCCTCTGTGCCCTACGCTGACTGCTGGGCTTCTTGGGTAGGACCAACTTCCAGTATTTACATAATCACATAGCTCCCTGACCCTACGACACTGTTCTACTTCTACCCTGGGTCTTGCAAACTTACCACTGGTTTTAATATTCCATCTGATGTCAAGCAGTGCCTTTTTGAGGTCTTCCATCACATCTTTCAGAGTGTCTCTCTGTTGATTCCAGGCCTGTGTTTCATTCACCTCCATCCCCTGACCACCCATGAATTTAATCTCCTGGTGGTTACAGGTATAATTAAAAAAGTTCTTTCCATTGACCTGGCCTTGAATTACACACCATGGTTGTCCGTTAAGAGTGATGGTGAATTTATAACCAAGAGAGCTAGCACCTGTGAAGGACAAATGCAGGGAAGGTTGGGATTTGAAGAAAAGTGCCCATAAGCACCTCTCCCGCATCTCTGTGACAGCAAGTGAATCCCCCTGGTGGCTGGGCTGGCAGAGCAAGGACTGACTCTGGCAGGCCCCTCTCATCACCAGGTGAAGGCAAGAGCCCCCCTCCCTTGTTTGAGGGGGACTAGGAGGCCTCTGCCTGGCAGGAAACTAATACCCAGCATCAGTCAGTCCATAACCAGCCTAGGGTTGTGCCAGGCTGGCTAGGGGAAAAAGGTCTTGATGCCAGAGGACTGTCAGCAACCAGCCCTGTGCCCTGTGGGGAGATAGTAGAGTGGGTAGGGGGCTACTCCTGAGGAAGTTGGATGATGGTGAGGGTGGGGTGAGAAGGGAACCCAGTGTTGGAGAAAGACGAGTTGACAACTGTAGGTCAGCAGTTGAGCATCGACCTATGGTCCAGGAGATCGAGGTTTGATTCCCAGTCAGGGCACATGCCCCTGGGTTTGCAGGATCGATGCCCAGCAGGGCATGTGCAGGAGGCAGCCGATCAATGACTCTCATCATGGATGTTTCTCTCTCTCTCTACCTCTTCCTTCCACTCTCTGAAATCAATAATATATATATATGTATGTGTGTGAGTGTGTGTATATATATATATATATATATTGTGGTACATATATACAATGAAATATTACTGGCCCATAAAAAAGTATCCAAAATCTTACCATTTGTGACAGCATGCATGGACCAAGAGGGTATTATGTTAAGTGAAATGAGTCAGTTAGAGAAAGACAAATACCATCTGATTTCACTTACATTTGGAATCTAAAGAAAAATATAAACGAACAAACAAAACAGAAACAGGCTCATAGATACAGGGAACAAACTGATGGTTGCCAGGCGGGAGGCAGTTGGGGGACTGGGTGAAAAAGGTGAAGGGACTGAGAAGTACAGATTGATAGTTATAAAACAATCACAGGGATGTAAAGCACAGCATAGCAAATAGAGTCAACAATATTATAATAACTATGTATGGTTCCAGGTGGGTACTTGAAATACTGGGGGGAACACTTTGTAAAGTGCCTAACCACTATGCTGTACACCTAAAAAGTAGTTCAAAATACTACTGAATGTAAACCTTAATAAAACAAAATGAAAACCATCACCAAAGAAACACAATTACAATGAATGCCTGTATAACTCAATATAAAATGAAGATTTTCAAATATAAAAAAAAAAGAAACAAAAAAAGTTTGCGGGCTCCTGCCTACTTGCATGAGCTTTACCTACTGTTGCCTTCGCAGTCGGTGGAAAGTGTGGGTCTGGGACCAGGGGCTACTCTGCTCTAGGATGTGTGCCCCCGGGGCAGAGGCTTCTGCTGGGAGGCGCCACCAGGCAAGGGCGGTAAAGTAACCCTGGTGGAGAAATTAGGGTCACTTTCAAATGGGAAGGTGTTCTTAGGATGCCAAAGAATTGCGTTAAAAAAGGGCGTGAGCTGGGCCTGGGAGCAGTGACTCATGGGCACAGATGAGCGATGTAGCTAGTGTGAGCTCCTCCTTAGGGACCAGGCGCCTGAGGGCGCCGTGAAGGTCAAGGGAGGAAGCGAGGCCTTTG